GGACCAGTCCATGGAGAAGGACACCATGATTGGTAAAAAAGAAGGTCAGCAAAAAGAAGACCCTCAATAGATGGATTGACCTAGTGGCTGCAACAATGGGGTCCAACGTAGCAGTGGTTGTGAGGATTGTACAGGACTGACCGTTGTTTTGTTCTGTTGTACATAGGGGTTGCTATGCGTCGGAACAAACTCTATGGCACCTAACAACAACAACAACATATATAAATATAGGATAATGTGTAAAAAGCACAGGCTCTGAATTCATATGGTGTGAGGGTTAAGGTTGTGTATCAACTTGGCTGGGCCATGAATCTCAATGGTTTGGCAGTTATGTAATGAAGTAGTCACCTCCATGATGAGATCTGATATAATGTAATCACCACCATAATGAGATCTGCTATGAGCAGTCAATTAGTTGAAAGTGAGTTTCCTTGGGAGTGTGGCCTGTGTGCAATGTATATGGACTTTCTGGAAAAGGTCGATGGCTCTTGCCCTGCTCTGGATCCTGCATTCAGCTCGTCATCATCTGACCACCGGTTCTTGGGACTTGGTGGTAGAACATTGAGTTCTTCTTGTCTCAGGCTGGTGGAGTCTCTGGTTCATTTGGTCCTTTAGTCCTTTGGGCTAGTATTTTCCTTTTGTCTTTGGTTCTCTTCATTTTCATTTGCTCCAAGTGGGATGGGACCAATAGATATTATCTTAGATGGCCACTCACAAGCTTTTAAGACCCCAGACACTACTTACAGAAGTGGAATGTAGAACATTTTCTTTATAAACTATGCTATGCCAATTGATTTAGATGTCCCCCAGAACTGTGGTCCCCAGCCTCCCATCCAGCTACTCTGTTCTTCAATGTTTTGGGATGTGTCTAGGGAACTTCTTTGCTTTTGCTTTGGTCCAGTTAGGCTGACTTTCCCTGTATTGTGTGTTGTCCTTCCCTTCATTGAAGTTGACCGTGGTCTACTATCTAGTTAGTGATTTCCCCTTCCCCTCCCTCCCCACCTGCATAACTGTCAAAGAATGCTTTTTTTCTGTGTTTAAACCTTTTCTTGAGTTCTCATAATAGTGGTCTCATACAATATTTGTCCTCTTGTGATTGACTTATTTCACTCAGCATTATGTCTTCCAGATTCATCCATGTTGTGAGATGTTTCTCGGATTCATCATTGTTCTTTATCATTCCATTGTGTATTCCATTGTGTGTATGTACCATAATTTGTTTATCCATTCGTCTGCTGGTGGCCATTTAGGTTGTTTCCTTCTTTTTGCTACTGTGAATAGCGCTGCAATGAACATAGGTGTGCATATGTTTATTCGTGTGATGGCTCTTCTTTCTCTGGAGTGTATTCCTAAGAGTGGGATTGCTGGATGATACGGTATTTCTATTTCTAGCTTTTTAAGGAAGAGCCATATCATTTTTTAAAGTGGTTGTACCATTTTACATTCCACCAGCAATGCATAAGAGTTCCAATCTCCCCACAACTTCTTCAACATTTGTTATTTTGTGTTTTCTGGATTAGTGCCAGCCTTGTTGGGATGAGACGGTATCTCTTTGTAGTTTTAATTTGCATTTCTCTGATGGGTAATGATTTGTTAGCCACCTGAATGTCTTCTTTGGTTAAGTGTCCGTCCCTATCATTTGTACACTTTTAAATTGGATTATTTGTATTTTTGTTGTTGAGGTGTAGCAGTATCTTGTAGATTTTAGAGATTAGACCCTCACTGGATATGCCATAGCCAAAATTTTTTCCCAGTCTGTAGGTTCTCTTTTTACTCTTTTGGTGAAGTTTTTTGATAATCATAAGTGTTTGATTTTTAGGAGCTCCCAGTTATCTAGTTTCTCTTCTGGTGTTTGTGCATTGCTAGTTATGGTTTGTGTACTATTTATGCCATGTATTAGGGCCCTTAGCATTGTCCCTATTTTTTCTCCCATGATCTTTGTCGTTTTAGATTTTATATTTAGGTCTTTAATCCATTTTGAGTTAGTTTTTGTGTATGGTGTGAGATATGGGTCCTGTTTCATTTTTTAACAGATGGATATCCAGCTATGCCAACACCATTTGTTAAAGAGACTATCTTTTTCCCATTTAACAGGCTTTAGTCCTTTGTCAAATATCAGCTACTCATAGGTGAATAGATTTACGTCTGGGTTCTCAGCTCTGTTCTATTGGTCTATGTGTCTGTCGTTGTACCAGTACCAGGCTGTTTTGACTACTGTGGCAGTATAATAGGTTCTAAAATCAGGTAGTGTGAGGGCTCCATTTTGTTCTTCTTCATTAATGCTTTACTTATCTGGAGCATGTTCCCTTTCCGTATTAGTTGGTGATTTGTTTCTCCATCTCATTAAAAAGTGCCGTTGGTATTTGGATCGAGATTGCATTGTATTTGTAGATCGTTTTGGGTAGAATGACATTTTCACAATGTTGAGTCTTCCTATCCATGAGCATGGTATGTTTTTCCATTTATGTAGGTCTCTTGGTTTCTTGCAGTAGTGTTCTGTAGTTTTCTTTGTATAGGTCTTTTACATCTCTGGTTATATTTATTCCTGAGTACTTTATCTTCTTGGGGGCTATTGTAAATGGTATTGATTTGATGATTTCCTTTTTGAAGTTCTCTTTGTAGGTGTTGAGGAATCCAAATGAATTTGTATGTTAATCTTGTATCCCACTACTTTGCTGAAATCTTCTACTAGTTCCAGTAGTTTTCTTGTGGATTCTTTGGGGTTTTCTGTGTGTAAGATCATATCATCTGCCAATATGGACAGTTTTACTTCTTCCTTACCAATTTGGATATCCTTTATTTTTCTTGCCTTATTGCTCTGGCTAGGACCTCCAACACAATGTTGAATAAGAATGGTGATAAAGGGCATCCTTGTCTGGTTCCCTTCTCAAGGGGAATGCTTTCAGTCTCTCTTCATTTAGAATGATGTCGGCTGTTGGCTCTGTAAAAATGCTCTTTATTATGTCTAGAAATTTCCCTTCTATTCTTATTTTGCTGAGAGTTTTTATCAGAAATGAGTGTTGGACATTGTCAAATGCCTTTTCTGCATCAACTGATAGGATCATGTGGTTCTTTTCTTTTGTTTTATTTATGTGATGGATTATGTTGATTGATTTTCTAATGTTGATCCATCCTGCATACCTGGTATGAGTCCCACTTAGTCATGATTATTTTTTTTATATGCTGTTGAATTCTATTGGCTAGAATTTTGTTGAGGATTTTTGTGTCTATGTTCATGACGGATATTGTTCTCTATTTTTCTTTTTTTGTGACATCTTTGCCTGGCTTTGATATCAGGGTTATGCTGGCTTCATAGAATGAGTTTAGGAGTATTCCTTCCTTTTCTATGCTCTGAAATACCTTTAGTAGTAGTGGTGTTAACTCTTCTCTGAAAGTTTGGTAGAATTCTCCTGTGAAGCTGTCCGGGACAGGCTTTTTTTTGGGGGAGGTTTTTTTTTTTTTTTTTAAAACTACCCCTTCAATCTCTCCTTTTGTTATAGTTTTATTGAGTTTTCTACCTCAGTTTGTGTTAGTTTAGGTAGGTAGTGTGTTTCTAGAAATTTGTCCATTTCCTTGAGGTTTTCAAATTTGTTAGAGTACAATTTTTCATAGTATTCTTTTATAATCGTTTTATTTTAGTTGGGTCTGTTGTGATATCAGCCATCTCATTTCTTATTCAGGTTATTTGCTTCCTCTGCTGTTTTTCTTTTGTCAGTTTGGCTGATGGTTTGTCAATTTTGTTGATCTCTTCAAAGAACCAACTTTTCCTTTTGTTGCTCCTTTCTATTGTTTTTCTATTCTCTATTTTATTTATTTCTGCTCTAATCTCTATTATTTCCTTTCTTCTGGTGCCTGAGGGCTTCTTTTGCTGCTCTCTTTCTATTTGTTTGAGCTGTAGGGTTAATGTTTTGATTTTGTCCCTTTGTTCATTTTTGATGTGTACATTTTTTGCTATAAATTGACCTCTAAGCACTGCTTTTGCTGTGTCCCAAAGGTTCTGTTAATATGTGTTTTCATTCTCATTTAATTTTATGAATTTCTTTATTCCATCCTTGATTTCTTCTATAACCCAGTAGTCTTTAAGCATTGTTCAGTTTCTATGTATTTGATTTTTTTTCCTTGCTGTTTTTGTTATTGATTTCTACTTTTATGACATTATGTTCATAAAAGTTGCTTTCTATTATTTTGATGCTTTTGATTCTGTTAAGGCTTGCTTTGTGGCCTAAAATGTGGTCTATTCTGGATAATTCTCTATGTGCCTTGACAAAGAATGTATACTTTGCTGCTGTTGGGTGGAGTGTTCTGTATATGTCTATGAGGTCAAGGTGATTGATTGTGGCATTTAGATTTTCCATATCTTTATTGAGTTTCTTTCTAGATGTCTGTCCTTCACTGAAAGTGGTGTGTTGAAATCTCCTACTATTATTGTGAAGCTGTCTATTTCTGTTTTCAATGCTGTTAGTGTTTGTTTTCTGTATTTTGGAGCCCAGTCATTGGGTGCATATATAAATATATTATGGTTATGTCTTTCTGGTGTATTGACCCTTTAATCATTATATAGTGTCCTTCCTTATCCTTTGTGGTGGATTTTCCTTTAAATTCTATTTTATCTGAGATTAATATTGCCACTCCTGTTCTTTTTTCATTGTTGTTTGCTTGATATAGTTTTTTAAATCCTTTGAATTTTAGTTTGTTTATGTCTTTGTGTCTAAGATGTGTCACTTGTGGACAGCATATAGACAGATTGTGTTTTTTTTTTTTTTATCCATTCCACCTCTCTCTGTCTGTTTACTGGTGTATTTAGTCCACTTACATTCAGTGTAATTATTGATAGGTATGAGTTTACTTCTGTCATTTTGATGTATTTTTTTTAAGGTGTTGACAGTTTTTTAGCACCACTTAATTTTCTGTGCTGAGTTCTTTTTCTTTTCATTATTATTTTATTGTACTTTAGATGAAGGTTTACAGAGCAAACTGTCTTCACATTAAACAATTAATATAAAAATATGGAATGCTTCACAAATCTACGCATCATCCTTTCACAGGGACCATGCTAATCTTCTCTGTATCATTCCAATTTTAGTATATGTGTTGCTGAAGGGAGCACTCATCTTTTTCAATATTGTTGATTTTTTGTTTTCTGAGTCTTTATGTTTTTCTTCTTTTTTATTTTGATGGGTAGGTTTGTTAGCTTCCTCTGTGGTTACCTTGAAATTTACCTTTAGTTTTGTAAGTTTAAATCAATTTTTATTTCCTTTTTTTTTTTTTTGGTTGTTTTTTTTTTAATTGTACTTCAGGTGAAGGTTTACAGAACAGATAGTTTCTCATTAAACAGTCAGTACACATATTGCTTTATCACATTTGTTAACAACCCCACGACATGTCAACCCTCTCCCGAAGGGGTGAGACCAGTGGAGTATCTTAGATGGCTGCTCACAGGCTTTTAAGACCCAGACGCTACTCACCAAGGTAGAATGTAGAACATTGTCTT